TTTCAAAGTATTAAAAAGATAAAAAGAAATAAAGGAATAGCTGCTTTTTATTGTTAAAGAAAGTTTTATAAATTCAGATTCTTCAGACACACATATATTTTCTTGTTTTAAAAAATAACAACTCTATTACTTGTGCAATCAGGTGGAGTTCTGAATAATTGCAATGGTCTGACTATTTTATGTTTATCTCAAATTCTATAGTGCTAAAATAATGTATTTAGAAGTAGAAAGTTCCAAGCATGAAAAATAAAGATGTCAGTTCCTATGTTCAATATAAAATAGCATAGTAGCTTGCTTGAATAGCAAGTCTTATTGTAATCCCTTTTAAACTCTGTACACAATTAAATACAACTTTTTGTTAACCTTGTAGTCATTCAGGTTCTTATAGAGGATGTAATGTTCATTGTTATGCTCATCTTCTCTAAGCAGCCAATTATCATGATATACCGAATACAGAGGCAGGTGATTGCTCGCAGGGTCCTTCGGTTTGGGCTTTCCAACCTATAGTACAAGACAAAAAAAAAAATGAATATGAAACAACAAGACACTAAGAAAAAAAGGCAATTTAAAAAGCAGGCAACATGGAATAACACAATCATTAATGGTTTTTATAATTTTTTAATTCTTCAGACTTCAAATTAATCTCATAAGTATAAGTATAATCTTTATTGTCATTGTACTATAGGACAACAAAATTGCTTTTAACCTCACTGGTGCAAAATTATAGCAGAAATGAAAAAAGAAAGAAAAAGGGGGGAAAAAACCTAGCATGGAGTGATTGTAGTTGTATTTAAAAGTCTGACAGCCCAACGNCGCCCGGAGTCCTCCGGGATTGGGCGGCCTATAAATTTAATAAACAGTAAACAGTAAACAGTACTTTGAAAGCTAGACAGCTAGACAGCTAGGGAGAAATATTTAGATTGAATAGTCAGGATGTGGAAGCAGACAGAAGCAAAAATTTAAGAGAGGAATATGGGAGGTGAGTCAAAAAATGAATAAGAATTAAAATATAATGTGGGCAAGAGATAATGGTTAGAAAGGAAATGTCTTTTAATATAATGGTGACATGATTAAAATAGCTATTCTAGAATAGCGATAGTGATAGAAATTTAAAAAGGGAAAACATTATATAAACATTTATATAATAAAATAAAAGCAACAAAAGGCAGGAAAATTAGATATTGAATGGTGTTATTATTATGTATGTTTAAATAATATTGTGATTGGCATTGGACTAACATACTGAAATATCAAATAATGGGAAAGCATAATTTAACATAAATATGTGTACTAATATTAGAACTACATTAACTGTAGGGAATAAGAATTAAAGTATTAATTTGGATAAGAGATGAGGGGTAAAAAGGAAAAGTCTTTTTAAAAAATATAATAGTGGCATGATTAAAAATTAGAATGGAGATAGAAATAAGAGGGAAGATTATTAATATACACATTTTTATATAATGAGAAATGCAAGAATTGGAGAGAAGATTAGAAATTGAATAATGGAATTATGTATGTGTAAAGAATAGTGTGATTGGCATTATAATAATATATTGAAACATTTAATAATTAAATAATGAAAGATTATAACTTAATACAAATATGTGTATTAGCATTAGAATTATATAAGTTGGATGTTCATGCATTGATGTGTATATGTAAGATAAAATAAAAAACTTGGGGGGAAAAGATCACTTTTAAAAAATCATGAAGTAACAGGGAAACGTATTATAAGTAGGAAAAATGGACTCTTGATAACACATGACATTAGCACTTAGACATACTGTATAGACTGCTTCACAGCTCTCTCTAAGCGGTTTACAGAAAGTGGTCATCAGCTGTTGTTCCACCTGATTTTTTCACAGGACTCTAAGGAAATGAAGTCTCTGTTGGGCCTTTCCAATCACCAGAGACGTGTTGTTTTNTTGGAGAATTCACAACTTTTGTAGGCAATTTGTGCCACTGATTAATTGTTCTAACTGTCAGGAAATTTCTCCTTAGTTCTACGTTGTTTCTTTTCTTGATTAATTTCTATCCATTCCTTCTTGTTCTTCCCTCAGGTGCTTTGGAGAATTGCTTGAGTCCCTCTTCTTTGTGGCAGCCCCCGAGATATTGAAACACTGCTATCATGTCATCCCTAGTCCTTCTTTTCATTAAATTATACATACCGAATTCCAGCAACCATTCTTTATATGTTTTAGCCTCCAGGCCCCTCATCATCTTTGTTGCTCTTCTCAGCATTCTTTCTAGAGTCTCAACATCTCTTTTACATTGTGGTGACCAAAACTGGATGCAGTATTCAAAGTGTGATCTTACCAAGGCATTATAAAGTGGCATTAATATTTCACGTAATCTTCATTCATCCCTCTGTTAATGCATCCTCTTTCTTTTTTTTAAATTAAAACATCTATTGCAAATTAAATTATATGAAAACAATATAAAATATTAATTAAACAATTATAGCATCCACTTTATCAAATGATTTAAAACATCAAGACTTCACCTTTTTTTAGACTTCCAGCTGATGACGCAGCAGTATCGGTCACAGAGAGCAGGTCTTCCCACTCCTGTACTGAGTTCTCCCTGTTGGTGGGCTCTGAAAGGAGCCAAAGCTGCCCTGTAGGGGGGGCAAAGCAAAGAGGGGCACCCTCTGAGGTTGCAGAGAGCCGCATCTCTCCTGCTTGGCCTGGAGCTCTTTTCCCCTCTCAGCCATAATGAGGAGAAGAGGCAGCCTTAAGATGTCTGCCATGAAGCTGGCACAGCCGACTGAACAGCTAAGACTGGTGCTGGAGGGGAGTTAGTGAAAAGTGTCTGGAACTGGGTGATACGATTTCTTTTTACTCAAAATCTAACTCCAAAATGAAAAATCCAGGAGTAATATTTGCTCAGAATTACTTGTTAAAGTGCCAAGTGAACATTTTGAGAAAAATACAAGATTGGAAAGAAAAGATCACGGGAAGAAAAACAAAAAAATCTTTAAAAATTGGATTTTTAAATAGGGAAGGAATTGTTTTGGGAAGGCATTTTAAAATACTGGAACTATTTACTTAAAAAGTTAACTTTGATTTTATAAATTGATTTAAAATTAAATTGGATTGAAATTTATTAGTTTTGTAATAGCATTGAAACTTAAGCTAAGAGCACCACCTGCTGATGAAAGGAAATACAACATATATTTACAAGCCTGGCAAGATTTTGGATATGGAATAAACAATACTTATTTGGGGGACTGTGGAGATATTTACTGCTTTATATGCACAAATATGAGAACAAGGAAGATGTCTAATTAGAATGATCCCTGAATATTATGATACATGATGGGATTTATAAAGAGAAATTAAAAAGATTTTGAACAACTCCCTGGAATACTTAATGGAACTGAAGGATCAACTATGAGACATAAGGAATTATGATCAGTGTATTTTTTTGAAGAGCAAATTCAGGCTTAAATATATGGTTCTTGGACTACTGGATAAGACCTATTAAAATAAGATGAGATGCTCCATCAGGGGAAAATAAGTGGATTCTTGGATATATGAGATTAATGTATCAAAGTATAAAGGACATTATAATAAGAAATCACATGGAGATTAAGGAAATAATGAATGGCATGGAGGGAAAGCTGGACAATATAATACAAGGGACAATGAGTAAAAATCAAGACACCCAGGAAAGGAGGAGTCAACAGAAAGAAAGGAAGAAAAAATAGAACAGACGAACCAGCAAATAAAAGAAGATAAAAAGGAGACAACAATACAAATAACGACTGATGAAACAAACAAAGGGAAAATACTTTAACAGTTTTTAGAAGAGACTTGGAGACACAGGACAATATTTTTGACAAAGGAGACTGGCATGGGTAGATACTCCAGGTGCCATCAGCTGGACAATGCCGGCTGGCGACGCCTCGGAGCAGGGCCTTCTCTGTTGCTGCTCCGGCCCTATGGAACGAGCTACCCCCAGAGATCCAGACCCTACCGACTCTCATGGCCTTCTGAAAAGCTATTAAAGTATTTTCCCTTT